TTTAATTAATTAGGCCAAGAGGAAGTATTCAATTGTCTCGGTTCTGGTGTCCTCGAAAACGCGTTTTCTGGGTACAACGCATGTATTTTTGCCTATGGACAGACGGGTAACTGTTGCATGACATACACCTTTATCATTTCAACGTAGTACATATCGAGCTTCACTTAAATTCAGGCTCCGGCAAATCCTACTCGATGATGGGCACAGCAGAACAACCGGGTATCATTCCTAGATTGTGTAATGAGGTTGGTTTATTGTATGAACCCTAGATTTATTAACCGCAACCTGTCTATATCAGGTATTTCGGAGGATCCATGAGACTACATGTGAGACTCTGCAGTACAAAGTAGAGGTTTCATACATGGAGATCTATAATGAACGAGTGCGAGACCTTTTGGATCCAAAAAAGTGCGGTTGGACTACTTGTCATATGCCCTAAATTTTCAATGTTTTAGATCCAACAAACACCACTTGAAAGTAAGAGAGCACAAAATTCTTGGACCTCTTGTCGACGGCCTATCCGTTCTTGCAGTGGACTCATATCAGGTAGTTTTCTTCCAGTATGACTAAACCAGTGCAGATTTCACTAACGAATTCTGGAACTTCTTTTGGTGGGCAGATGCAGCGGCTCCCCATTGGTTGCAGAGTTTTTCTATGAATTTATTTATCTGAGAACTTCTCTTCAGCAAATCGCATCCCTTATCGAAGAGGGAAACAAGTCAAGAACAGTGGCGGCGACAAATATGAATGCAGAAAGCTCTCGTTCTCACGCCGTGTTCAACATAACGCTTACGCAGATTTTGAAGGATGTAGAGAAAGATGTGAGCATTTGCGTCGTTGCAGTAACTCAGGAAATCACTCGTCAGTCAGTTAAGAATTAGGTCACATTGTATGAGTAATTTTAGTTTACCGGAGAAAAAGTAGCCAAAATATCTCTTGTCGACTTGGCTGGAAGCGAACGTGCTGGAAAAACGGGCGCAATGGGTAAACGCCTCGAAGAGGGTGGAAATATCAACAAGTGAGTTTGACCTGTTATCCACCATTTTTCAGTGAGATGAATAGTAATTTCTAGATCACTGACCACTCTTGGCATGGTCATTTCAGCTTTAGCTGAGCGCTCTAATGGTAAAAAGGAGAAATTTATTCCATATCGTGACTCTGTGCTTACATGGTACGTCTAAAAAGCTCTTTACACTTTCTCTCCCTTTTTTCTTCCACGAAAAGACGTATCAGATTCAAAGAGGGGTTCTTTTCATAGCATAAACAGTCTTTCGCATTGCATTAAAAGGGAATATCAGTATACATTATTGTTCAACATTATTCTAAAACTTTTAATTGCCAAACTATCTGCTCTGACACGGCAGTCCAAATATCTCTTTGAATTTATTTTAGCTACACAATGTAGTTTCCCTTACATGCTTCCGTACTACTCTAATTATTGTGTCTTGAATTACTTTTTTTTCGTCCGAGCAAATAATGTCTTGATACATGTTTCATTAGAAGGCTAGTAGTCAAAAAAAGCTCTCGCAAATAATTAGTGGGATATTTTCTAGGCTTCTCAAGGACAATCTAGGCGGAAATTCACGTACTGTGATGATTGCTACCATATCCCCAGCAGCGGACAATTACGAGGAGACGCTGTCTACACTGCGATACGCTGATCGTGCCAAACGCATAGTTAATCATGCCGTCGTCAATGAGGTGAAAACACGCTATATTCTTCAGGGATATAAACCTCGTCAAGGACGAATACCTAGGTATCTAAGAAAAGAAAGAGTGTAAAATTCTAGGATCCAAATGCAAGAGTCATTCGAGAACTACGAGAAGAGGTTGAGACATTACGAATGCAGATCAATCAAACTCTTAAGGAACACTCAGTAAGTCTGTACTTTATTAAGGCAAGCTGTTGTCGTAACCGTTATTTTGTAGGAAACTGCTGAACTACGCGAAAGGCTAGCAGAAAGCGAGAGACTAGTAGCGCAGATGAACAAATCCTGGGAAGAACGGCTTAAGGAGACTGAAACCCTTAACAAGGTGGTTAACCTATTGTTAGTGCAGGCTGCATTAACAGAATTTGTTATGGGATTATTTAATTTACAATTCATGTTTGTTTCTATCACTAAGGAATTATCTTGAAGAATACGAAAGTGAGCAACTAAGCAGCGATGCAGCTTTACTCATGCCATATGTTTTAATGTTTTTCAAATCTCGATTGAATATATATCTAGACACAAGAGCATAAAATTGTTGGGAAGCTAACTTATATCTCACTAGAAAGAAACTTAGAAAATGTGTTGATGCAGTTGAAGATTTTTGAATGTGTTAATGACAATAACAATGTAAGAGCACATTTACCTCAAGCCTGTAAGACTGACAATCGAATGGACAGGCAACCGCATCTGTCGATCATTTATATCTCTGTAAATTTGGAATTTATGCGTGAAGTAGCATTTTGCCCACAATCCTTTGATCTGCTTGTGTTATACGTTCAAAGGAGTTGCATATACTGATACATAATTATCATTATTTATTTTAGGAACGCCAACGAGATCTCGCCGAAATTGGTATATCTATCGAGTCAAGTGGTATTAAGGTTGAAAAAGATCGCTTCTATCTTGTCAACCTCAACGCAGACCCGTCACTCAATGAGCTTCTCGTGTATTATATAAATGTAAGTGCAGCAACAGACGCACTACATTTGGCATTTTTCTCCATCTCTTAGCATCTTGGTTTATTATTGTTTCTGCAAGTTCCTTTTTTTAGTCAACCGCAATCATAGGAAATCTAGATGAAATCGAGACCAGTCTTGACTCTGGACTCGGCAATTCCGTTGAGGATC